GTGCCGAATTGGGTGGGTGTGGGTGACGCATGTGAGCGCCGCCACTGGGGCCTCCGGTGGATGATGGGGCCACGAAACCTGTCAGGGATGTGCCGAAATGGGTGTGCGGGACGCATGCGCATGTGAGCGCCGCCACTGGGGCCTTCGGTGGAGCTCCCTATGGGGCCACGAAACGTGTGAGGGGTGTGCCGAATTGGGTGTGCGTGACGCATGCGGCGGCAGCACTGGGGCCTTCGGTGGAGCTTCCTATGGGGCCACGAAACGCGTGAGGGGTGTGCCGAATTGGGTGTGCGGGACGCATGCGGGCGGCAGCACTGGGGCCTTCTGTGGGGCTCCCTATGGGGCCACGAAACGTGTGAGGGGTGTGCCGAATTGGGTGTGCGGGACGCATGCGGGCGGCAGCACTGGGGCCTTCGGTGGGGCTCCCTATGGGGCCACGAAACGTGTGAGGGGTGTGCCGAATTGGGTGTGCGGGACGCATGCGGGCGGCAGCACTGGGGCCTTCGGTGGGGCTCCCTATGGGGCCACGAAACGTGTGAGGGGTGTGCCGAATTGGGTGTGGGTGACGCATGCGGGCGGCAGCACTGGGGCCTTCGGCGGAGCTCCCTATGGGGCCACGAAGCGGTGTACTGGGCGGGTGAAGAGGAGAGGAGGAGAGGAGGAGAGGAGAGGAGGAGAGGAGAGGAGAGGAGAGGAGGACGCGGGGACCGTCTCTTCAAAACGAGGACCCAACACCACAGGATGGTTGGGAAAAAGAGAGAAAGAGAGAGGTATTGCGACAGTTCGGGGGCGGAGTCCACGTGCGGGTGCGCGGGCTGCAAGCGCCTATCCCAAATCGGCGGCGCGGGGGGCAGCAGATGGAACATGCTAATTCCAGACGGACGTAGCCGAAATGACAGCAGCGCGAGGCGTCGCACGCTGTATGTTGCAGAAGATGGGTGGTGTAGTAAAGGAACTGTAGCCCCACGCGCATGAGCGGCCAGAACCCGAGGAGTACGCAAAACGAACTCGACTCAAGGCGAACTGAAGCGCGAGCAGTCTGGTGCAAATTAGGATCGAGAAGCACCGACAGGTGATGACTTAGAAAGCGTGCAACGGCCAGAACCCGAGGAGCGCGGTAGCTCCACTCAAGGACCCGAAACGTCGGTACACATTACGACATGTAAAGCTGCCAGACCAGCCGATCGGTGAGGTAACGCTGAGCTATGGCTGGGCGAGACGACTGGTAGGGCGCTGCCCTGCGAACCGGCAGCGCATTAGCAATAGTATTGGTGGAGTGCTAGACCTACAGGCCGCGGCAGCACCACAACAGCGGACCCGATGCAAATGTTGCCAAACTGTACACCTGGTGGCGGCGTAAACACGCAGGGATCTGAGCGACAAAACGACCCCGCCGGCCTTGCATCGGGCACGTACCGCATAAGCGACTGTGCAACATGATGCAAGGGGTCGGCGTGACGAAGACGATCACGCGGCAAAGGCTGACTTAGCCTTGAACAACAGAGACGGGGCTGAACGCGGCCGACCGCGAGCAGGAACCGCTTCACGCGGTGGCGCATATGGGTAATGGGCAAGCGCGAGCATGGCCATGGGTGCAGGGCAAGCGCGAGCATGGCCAGCGTGCAGTGCAGGCGCCAACGTTAAAACAGCGACCTCAACGCAGCCAAAGCCGCGAAGAGCTACCATGAAGGCAGGTGGAAGCAACACGTAAAGATGAGCAACCACCTAGGCTCAATGGATATTGTACGCGGCACAACACAAATCGCACCACACCGACAAAAGGCGACAGTGTAAAAAGGAGCAGCAAAGCGAACCCTCCAATGGGCTACGCCAGCGCATAGATGCCGGCAATCAAGCTGCTTCACGGCTAATGCCAATAGGAGATGCGAACAACAAAAACGCTACAACAAGCTGCAAGCGCCCACCGCGCCCATGCGCAGAGGGAGGTAGGGGGAGGGTGACATCTTGTGGCGGGAGGGGCCGCGTGAAAATCAGTGGTGAGGAGTTTCCTATCCCCCTGGCGCGGTTTGTAGGAGACCCCGACTTGACAGCAAAACGGGCCTGTGGTGATCAGGGCGTGGCACGCTCCTTCCGCACACCCGGGTAGGTGGCGCCGGCTATCTACACGCTTTGGCATGCGTTCTCCGGCGCCTTTGTGCTGGAAGGCGCCGCCTTGGGGTATCCCCCGCAACGGTTCAATGCTAGGGCTACGGAAGAACTGCCGGACGCAGCGCACGCGGAAAATGGAGAGGTAAGCCTTGTTGGGCGCTCGTTGAGCATCGAAGCGCGCCTGGGTCCTGCCGGGGGCGAGGCCCCGAGGCGGCGATCGGGCCTCAGGAAGGTCGATCCAGGTGGTCTGTGCTTTTTTGGGATCGGTCATGACGGAGTCCTGACTGTTCCTTGGTGTTACGCAGCTTATGACCAAGTCTGGTAGCTCTCTGATGCAGTGTCGTTGTGCTGGTAGTGCAGGCGGTCCCTCAGTCTGCGGCCGTGAAGCGTTGCGTGGCGCGACTCCGCACTGTGGCCTGTACGGGCAACGCATCTGTATGTATATATATATATACGTGTACATTCTTAAACCGAAGGAGAGAGGGAGAGGGAGAGTGAGAGGGGAGAGAGAGAGAGAGAGAGAGAAAAGAGATAGAGAGAGAGAGAGAGAGAGAGAGAGAGACAGAGAGAGAGGGAAAAAGAGAGAGAGAGAGAGAGAGAGAGGTGGAGACAGAAAGAGAGAGAGAGGGATCTATATATATAGAGAGAGAGATGGATAGACAGAGAAAGAGAGAGAGAGAGAGTGCAGCTCTCAAGGTAGACAGGAGGAACTGGAGGGGCAGGATGAGCAGGATGAGTAACATTTGGACAAGAAACAGGAGCAGGAGTGGGAATATTCAAAGGGAAAGGGGAGGAGCATCGCGAGCTTGATTCGAAGGATAGGCTGAGTAAGACGGTTAATATGAGTTTGAACAGGAAGGATAGGAGGAGGAACATGGATATCAAGATGAGAAGGGTGACGACGCTGATGACGACGATGCTGATGGTGATGATGATGCTGATGGCGATGGTGGTGGTGGTGATGATGATGATGACGATGCTGATTATCATGACGATGATGCTGGTGCTGATGCTGATGCTGCTGCTGATGCTGCTGATGATGATGTTGATGAGTATGTGATGATGGTGGTGGTGGTGATGATGACGATGATGCTGAAGATGATGCTGCTGATGACGGTGACGATGATGATGATGATGGTGCTGATGATGGCTATGATGATGGTCATGACGATGCTGAGGCTGATGCTGATGTTGATGCTGATTCTAATGCTGATGATGCTGATTCTGATGATGATGGTGGTGATGATGATACTCATGCTGATGCTGATGATGATACTGACGGTAATGATGCTAATGCTGATGCTGATGATGATGCTGTTGATGATAATGATGCTGATGCTGATGCTGATGCTGATGATGATAATGCTGATGCCGATGCTGATGATGATAATGCTGTTGGTGCTGCTGATGCCGATGCTGACGATGATTGTCTTGATGATGATGATGGTGATGATGATGCTGATGATGATGATGATGGTGATGAGAAGGAGGAGGAGGACGAGGAGGAGGAAGAGGATCTAGAAGAGGAGTATCAGAAATAGGAATCTGCACACGAAAACGAACATGATGCTGCTGCTGCTGATGATCATGATGATGATGGTGATCATTGTGATGGTGATGGTGATGGTGATTGTGATGGTAATGATGACGATGCAGATGATGATGATGATGATGATGCTGATGATGATGTTGATGAGGATGACGATGATGGTGATGATGATGACCATGATGACGATGATGATGATGATGATGATGATGATGATGATGATGATGATGATAGTGCTGCTGCTGATGATGATGCTGATGATGCTGCTGATGACGATGATGCTGATGCTGATGATACTAACTATGATGATGAGGATGATGAGGATGTGATGATGATGCTGCTGATGATGATCATGATGATGTTGTTGATGATGATGCTGATGACGATGATCCTGCTGTTGATGATGAAACCTATGATGATGATGCTGATGATGATGAGGATGATGATGATGATGATGATAATGATGGTGGTGGTGGTGATGATGATGCTGCTGCTTCTGATGATGATGATTATTATTATTATGGTTATTATTGTTATTATCATTATGATTGATATGATGATGCTGACGATGATGATGATGCTGATTCTGATGATGATGACGATGATGATGATGATGATGATCATGATGATGATACTGATGATGATACTGATGATGAGGATGATGATGACGATGACGACGACGACGATGATGATGATGATGATGAGGATGAGGATGAGGATGACGATGATGATGATGATGCTGATGATGATGATGATGATGATGATGAGGATGAGGATGAGGATGAGGATGAGGATGAGGATGATGCTGATGATGATGCTGATGATGATGATGAGGATGATGATGATGATGATGATGATGATGATGATGATGATGATGATGATGATGATGATGATGATGATGATGATGATGATGATGACGATGATGATGATGCTGATGATGATGATGATGATGATGATGATGATGATGGTGGTGGTGGTGGTGGTGGTGGTGGTGTGATGATGATGACGACGATGTCTATGAGGATGCAGATGCTACAGCTGCGGATGCTGCTGCTGATGATGATGAGGATGGATACGGCGATGCTGTATGATGTTAGCGATGATGTTGAAGGAAGAGGAGGAGGAGGAGGAGGAGGAGGAGGAGGAGGAGGAGGAGGAGGAGGAGGAGGAGGAGGAGGAGGAGGAGGACGAGGAGGAGGAGGAGGAGGAGGAGGAGGAGGAGGAGGAGGAGGAGGAGGTGGAGGTGTAGGGGGAACAGGAAGATCAGGATGGGGCAGGGGTAGGAGGGGCCACGAATCTGAGGGAAGGACTGGCGCGGGTGGCCGACAACTCTGGGACACTGAAGGATCAGCGTGGTGTTCGTGCTCGACGGATCGGGCAGCATCAGCGATGCGGACTGGAGGGACGAGAAGTCTCTTGTCAGCGGCGTCGCTCGGGGTCTGGAGTTCGGCCGCCGTGCCGCCGCCGCTGGGATCGTCCAGTACACCAACACGGCAACGGCCGAGGTCAATATCGTCACCGACAAAGACCGCTTCCTCCGTGACCTCCAGGTTATAAGGCAGAAGAAGGGAGGGCCGACCTACACGGACAAAGGCCTCAACGCCGCTGCCCTGATGATCCAGCAGTCCCGCAGATTCAATGCGGCTGGCCGGGTTGTCCTCCTGAGCGACGGCGACGCGGACCCCTTGGCCGAGGAGTCTGCCCTGAAGATCGAGCAGGAGGGCGGGACGGTCCTCAGTGTGGCCGTGGGCCCCGACGCCGACAGGGAGCAGCTGAGGCGTCTGGCGAGCTCCCGCGATCTTTTTTTCGAGGTGAGCGATTTCAGCTCGCTGAAGGAGATCAGGCGTGAGATCACAAAGCTCACGTGCGACCCCGGCAAGATGAAGCCAGTCGGTGCTGGAGGCAAGAGGTGGGAGGCCACGTTCTAATTGTCCACGCCCTTTTACGAGCTAGTGATGATGGGGCGGTCTGAAGTGCTGCATGGCGCATGTTTGCAGGTAAACTAATCACTGCCAGATTGATCGCTACGGTGCGAGGCATTTGCTTTGTTGAGCTGCAGAGTTTTCATTGTCATGGTAGTGTCGGAGGGGTCACTCGGGAGCCTTCTGGAGGACCTCTTTGGGGCCTCTTGGGCCGTCTTGGGCTCTCTTGGCCCGTCAGACGCCTTCGGAGATCGTCTTGGGGACCTCGCTAGGGCCGTCTTGGGGGGGTCTTTTGGGGCGCCTTCGGGCCGCATTACCTCGTGTTTTGTAGAGGGAGCCCACAGTGAACCATGAGTGAACCACCAGCGAAGCCACAGTGGAGCATCAGTAAACCAGCAGTGAACTTTGGATCGCTTGGAGGCCCTTTGGAGGCCCCAATGGGCCGTCTTGTGGCGATCTTTGGGGCCTCTCTGACCGTCCTTCAGCGTAGGGGAGCCGAAAAGGGCCCTCGTCGCCGTTGTTTCTCAGGAGGGGACAAAAACACACAGACACAATGAATCGTCGATTCCCCAGAACATATAGGAAAATATGGGAATCGGGGGGGAAGACAAAACCCCAGAAATATGGGATAATATGGGGAATCTTTTCATTTGTGTGTATTTATTTGTGTGTTCCAGGGCCCCTTCAGTTTCGTCGGGCTCGGCCCTCGCCCCGAGCGCGCTGCGGGCCCCCGCCCTCGTCGCCCGCGCTGCGCCGAGCGCGAAGCGCGGGCGGGCGCGAGAGGCCCCGCGCTTTCGAGATTGCGCGCGCGCGCCCTACAGTGGTGTTTTTAATGCATGCTCCGCGTGCGGATCATGTATTTAAACATGCAGGGATTTAGTATTGAACAACGACGATGAGTTCATGCGTTTTTTTGGGGGGGGGGGGTGGGTGGGTGGCCCCATCTGCAGGCGCATCCGGCGTGGGGCCTCCGCACGTTCCGTACGCATGTGAATCCAGCCGCGCATGTGAATCCAGTTTCCCGTCTCGTCCCTTCCTTCCTCCTCCTCCTCCTCCTCCTCCCCCTCCTCCTCCTCCTCCTCCTCCTCCTCCCGCCCTTCTCCCTTCCTCCTCCCTCCTCTTTTTCTCTTTCCATTCTCACCTCTCCTCCTCCTCCCCCTCCTCCTCTCCTCCTCTCCTCCTCTCCTTCCTCCTCACCTCTCCTCCTCCTCCTCCCTCCTCCTCCTCCTCCTCCCTCCTCCTCCTCCTCCTCCTCCCCTCCTCCTCCTCCTCCTTTCCATCCTCACCTCCTCCTCCTCCTCCTCCTCCTCCTCCTCCTCCTCGCCTTTCTCCTCTTGTAGGTGGCTTTCGCAGGTCCGAGCGGCAGGGTGCCATTCAGAACGGAACCACTGAAGACCAGCTCACGCGCATCCCTGCCTGAAGACGGTCCGGGAGGCCCCCAAGATGGCGGGATGGCTTCGGAGCTCGCCCTGGGACGGCTACGCGTCGGCCCAGATCCACCCCCGACATGGCTCCGAGACACCCGCAGATGGCCCCTGGACCCTCCAGGTCAGCCCCAGGCCCGTAGGGGTGCGGAAATGGCCCCGACGTGCAGCAGCTGCCCGAAATCTTGGAGGCCTGGAAATTGGCACCCACACCAGCACAGGGGGTTGCCTCCACATCGGGAAGATTATCCTAGATTTCGGTGCTGGTGTTAATATTTCGGTCACCTTGGAAGCCAGAATGTTACCACCATCACCGAGATCGGGATCGTCTTCCCTCGTTGGAGGCACACCGCCGATCTTGGTGTTGGTGCCAACCTCTGGGCCTGCCCGAAGTCGTCTCAAAACCCAGGGTCGCCCGCCCTTCTTCGCGAGCGTTCCCTTGGCTCTGGTTCGGCCGCGGTGCAGTCGCCGTCAGGTCGTGGCGTCGTGGCCTGCGCGTGGCCAGGTCGTCCTTGCACGCCGGCTGCTCGTGGCATTTCCATGACCAGAACCGGGTGTGTACAGTGCCGTTTTTAATACATGCTCCGCGTGCGGATCATGTATTAAGAATGCAGGGGTTCAGTACTAAAAACAACAATGAGTTCATGCATAGATTTATTCATAAATTACTCATGTATTAAACATCCTACATTTTTCAAAATCCCATGTATTAAAAACTGCCCTGTAGAGTCGATGATTGGGGCAGGCTTCCGCAGAGATGGTTCATGGCTTTGGATGGCAAGTCGGGCTACGCCATTTTCTTAGGGCGCACGCCGAGCTGGCGAGTCGAGTGCGATTTTCTTTGGATCTGCTGTTCTGCGGTTGAGCGAGGCCTTGGAGAAGCGATGGCTGGCACCTTGTTTGTTTGTTTATCTGCATCTCCGCTAAAGTGACGCGCTCGACCTGCATACCCCTGACCAGTTAGAGCGTGGCCTCGGAACAGGTGGGTGGATGAGGACCTTTGGAGTGACGAAGACCTGGGGGCTGTCGAGACTGCGGCTGGGCTCTTAGGGGCCCCAGAGAGCAGGAAAAGTAGGAAGAGGAGGAAGGGGAGGGGGCGCAACATGCCTTTGGGTGAGTCGCCGGCAGGAGTTGTCCGGGCAGGAGTCGTCCGACGAGACCGATTGGCTGTTTGTCTCCACCTCCTCGAACCCAGGGGGTGGTGGCGATGGCGATGCCGACCGTGATGGTGACGGCGGAGACGGCAAGCAAGATCATGGTGGTGACACACCTGCGCCAACGAAGACTACCACGACGGAAACGACGACAACGGTGTCGGTCGAAGTAGACCCCGAGCTCGAGGGGGCGTGTGCCCTTCAGGAGACTCACAAGTACTTCAGGCTGCGCTACGAGCGCTGGATGCTTCTTACTGCGCTGGGTGACCGACTCCAGTTTGAGAACGAGGGGCAGATCTTGGACAAGTTTCGCCACTTCTCCGATGCCGCCTCGGACGGTATTTGGCAGACGAAAAACGGTATAAAATAAACTTTTCCGCCGCCTGGGACGTCCGCCTCAGGGAGGCTGAACAGTTTATACCCTTATGGGGGGCACGTCGGGGTATAAACTTTCCAGCCTCCGTGGGGCAGGCGTCCCCGACTGCGGAACACTTTATCTTATACCTTTCTTCGTCGGCTAAGGTATCTACGACAACATCGCCAGCAACTGGACCTACGCGCGCTCCCTGGGCAAGCAGCTTCGCAAGGCCAGCGATGAGGTCGACTTCCGTGCTGCGCGCGCCCTGCAGGCCGAGGTCCAGGAGTACATCGACCTCCAGCTCTACAAGTACGAGGGCAGAGGTCAAGGGCAACGATAGGGGGGATAGGCATAGGGGGGGGTTCATCGACCCCCAATCGCCCATTGATCGCCGATAGGGGCCCGATAGCCCAAACCTGCCTAGGAAGGTGCGGATTCGCTATCGGGGGCCAATCGCCGATCTATCGGTGATGTATCGCCGATTTCAGGTCGATGCTCCCCCCTATGCCAGTCCCCCCTATCGTTGCCCCTCAATAGGGGGATCCCCCGAGCACAACCAACAGCTGGCAGAGCTCACTGAAGACATGTGCCAGCAGATGCGCTCTTTCATCCGGACTGCAAAGGCCACCGAGCGATCGATGCAGCTCTACCGCAATGCAGAACCGCTGTGGAACTCGTGGCAGCAGGCATGGGGTCCGGTGCGAGTTTTCGTGAAGGTCACTACCCAGTGCAGGCTGGCGACCCCGCCGGGCATGGATCCCAAGGTCTTCCTCCGCCCGAACTATCCGGCCGCCTGCGGCAAGGTGCTGCCGCCGTGCCGGTCCGGCACCTCGGGGGGCGCCTGGGAGGCCGTAAACTGTGATGCCTTGTGTCCCGAGGCTTGGGAGGGCCGTGACATGTGTCTCACTCTTCCGCGTCGTGTCAGGGGTTCTCTCTCCTCGTCTTCGTCGTCGTCGTCCTTTCTTTGTTCCACTCTTCCTGGGGCTCCTGTGGGAGTCTTGGGAGCCCCCTGGGCCCTTGGGCCGTCTTGGGGCCCTCTTGCGCTATATTGGAGCTCTCTTGGCCGTCTTGGGGCCCGCTTGGCTGTCTGTGGGTCTCTTACGGCTCTGGTGGGGCCGTCTTTGGCCATCAATGGGATTCTGTCAGGCCGTCTGGGGTCTCTCGGGAGGCCCTCGTGGGCCAGCTTGGGACTGACCAGGGGCAGTCCTGGGCCGTCTAGGGGTCCTCTTGGGTTGTTTCGAGGCCGTTTTGGAGGATTCGATGCGCCATTTTGGGAAAGACAGCGGGGAATCAGCGAGCTTGGCCACTTCAGGCCCTGCTGTTTTGGCCGTTTTGGGGGCCGCTTGGGTTGTTTTGAGGCCATCTTGGGTCGCCTGGAGGCCATCTCAGAGGCCGATGGGGCCATCTCGGAGGCCTTGGTTGCCTGCCTCGGTCGTCTTGGAAGCTCGGGAGCGCGGATGCATTATCTTGACGTGGGATCGTAGTCTCCGGAGCGCGGATCCATTTTCAATTATCGGGGGCGGAAAAGAGGGGGGTGATGCCTAGGGGGGGGTGGATGTCATGGCGGGGGCCATCATATTTCCCCAAATTTCATCATTCTTGTTTCATTACGTCCCTGGCCCCCCCCGCTGGGCCGTGCACATGCCGCCGGCCATGATTTGCACCCCCCCTCTTGGACGCCCCCCTCTTTGCCGCCCCCGAAATTACAAGAGATCATGGGGCGATGCAAGCGACAGTATGGTGAAGAGGGGGGCTCCCGAAGCCCTGCTAGACAGCACTTGGCATTCCACTGCGCCTCAGCGTGCCAGGGGGCTCGCAGGCGGATCAGGACCAGTGGGCCACGTGCAGTGGTGTGGAGCCCTGGGCCCCGAACCAGTTTCCTTCGGCAGTCATGGCTTGTGCCCGGCCGGATGGTGAGCACGTGAACAATGGGGGGCCAGTGCTAGACCGCGACCGTATCGTGCGCTACCTCGGCTGTGGCGCCAGCCGCCTGACGAGGTCACCCAGCGAGCCGCCGATGACGCAGGGCGTCGCCGAAGGCTGCTCCCAAGGCAGTGAGGCCGCGGCCGACTGGATGACAAACATGTGCGGTCCAGGCTCAGCGGGGGAAGCATCAGTCGAAAGAGGATGTCGCCAGGTCCTTGGCCCCATCCCTGAACACAGAGGGATTACCCTGATCTTATTTTCGACTTCGTCTTGACATTGCAGGCCAACGGATTTAAAGAATTTCGGGTGCGGGGCCAAAGACTGGGTTCGTGGACAAGACAAGGTCCGTCTGAGGCCTTCATCATACGAACCGGCGAAGGCGTTCGGTCTTTACGGCGAGGGCATTTGCTAGCCACGCTTGCACGGGCAGACGCATCGGCGAGGGCATTCCCTACCTGAGCTCGGCAGGAGAGGGCATGCCTGCATATACGATGTGCTGGGCGTCCAGGCCCTTGGCCACATTCGGGCATCGAAGTCAGCGTTCCCGGGGGTCCCCCCGCCCTCTTCGATGCCCCGTGGCTGGCCCGGGTTCGGGAGCCACGTGGTCCCGACCCCGTTCTCTGATGGGCCTGTTTTCCACCACCACCACCATAAGTTGGAGGGGGGAAGGAGGTGGAGGAGGAGGAGGAGGAGGAGGAGGAGGAGGACCCCCTTCCACCTCCTTACTTATGGTGGTGGTGGTGGAAAACAAGCACGCCATTCTCTCCCCCACCCGCTGACCCCTGGCCTGGGGGCTGCTGCGTGGCCGCCCCCCTGCTTCGCGCCCTGGCCCTGGCCGACCGGCGCGGCGCTGCCCCCGGGTCGGCGCGTGCCCGACCCAGGTCGGGAGACTCTTCATGGGGGGGGATCCCATGGGGGGATAGGATCCCAGGGGGGGGATCCCATAGGATCCCCTGGGGATCCCATGGAGAGTCTCCCGACCAGGGGCAGCACACTTCCCCCCTATAACCAACCGAAGCCTCGGGGGTCTGGGAGCCCTTTGGGGGCTTTCGGGGGGCTCTGTCGACCTCAGGAGGCTTCCAAGATGGTTAGGGAGGACGCCCAGGGGCTAGCAGGGCCCCACGACGGCCTCAGGGAAGCCTCTGGAGCGGCCCAAGACTGTTCAACAGAAAACAGGCCGGCCGAAGAGAGCGCTAAGACGGACCAAGAGACCTCCCAAACAGCCTCAATACGCGCGAAGACCGCCCACGCGGCTTTAAGAGGCCCCCGAGAGGCCCTCCTCGAGGCTCCCGAAAGGCTCGCCACCGGCCACCGAGTCGGCCCTCCAAGACTTTGCCTGCAACAGCTCTCAGACCACCTGCCGCCCGCAGGAGGGCCCGACACGTCCCAATATGAATACTACTCTCCTCCTTCCCCTGATGACGGGTTGGGAGTGTTCGCCCCCCCCCCCCCTCCCCTCCCCGCGTTATTTTTATTTTTATTTTTTTTATACACAGGATTCCCCGGAGTTGGGCTTTCGCTTGTATTCTTTTTCAATATGCTGCTCTCGCTGAGGCGCCGGCCTCATTTTTGGGCCCCGCTCGTTCATAATCGTGCTCCCGCTGCAGCGCTGGCCTCATTTCCGTGCTTCCGCTCGTTCCGAATCGTGCTCCCGCTGCAGCGCTGGCTCATTTCCGCGCTTCCGCTCGTTCCGAATCGTGCTCCCGCTGCAGCGCTGGGGTCATCTCCCGTGCCATGCCACGGCATGCAATGCAATGCTAGGTTGCGTTCCGCTGCGCGATGCCATGCCTTCAGCTGAAGCTGTGATATGCAGTGCTTAAGTGCCACGTCGCGCTATGCCATGCTACGCTTTGATCTTCAACGCCATGCTATGCAATGTTATGTTCGGGGCCGCTGTGCGATGCCATGCTTTGCGTTGCAAAGCTTTGTGATGCAATTCTTCACTACGCCACGCCACGCCATGCTGTGACATACTACGCTTTGCGGTGCTGTTCTACGCCATGCCATGCCGTGCTCTACAATGCATCGCGTACCCTTTCGGGATCATTGCCCTGCTCCACATCCGACTGCGAGTAGAGAGGGGATCTACGCCATGGTAAGGGATGGGAGGGAGGGGTAGGATGTCAGATATGACGCGAGCGCACCTAGCTTGTCCCCCTCCCCCTCCCCCTCCTCCTCCTCCTCCTTTTCCTCCTCCTCCTCCTCGTCGTCGTCCTCCTCCTCCTCCTCCTCCTCCTCCTCCTTTTCCTCCTCCTCCTCCTCCTCCTCCTCCTCCTCCTCCGTGCCGAGCTCTGCCCTCCGCGGTCCCACGGGCGCTGGAGTCGCCGCGTCGCGCCCGCTCGCCTCTCCTTCCTCCCTCGCTCCTGCGCCGCTGTCCCTCCCGCCTTCCCTCCTTCCCTCCGCGTCCCTCCTCCCTCCTCTTTCCTCTTCCTTTTTTGCCCCCTCCTCGCTCCTCCTTCGTCTGGCCCTCCCGTCTTCCGCCTCCCTCGTCCCTCTCTCCTCCTGCCCCCCTTCTTTCTCCATCCTTCCCCGTTCCTCCTGTTCCTCCCCCGCCTTCCTCTTTTCCTTCCGCCGTTCCCGATCTCTCCCTTCCTCCTTCGCGTGTTCCTGCAGCTGCCAGTTGTTGAGTATTGGCCATGGCTGGTCCTGGACCTTGGAGGCACAGGGAGCCCGTTCTCAGACATCATCAATCTGCTCACTTGAGCATGCTGTGCGCATTTCTGCCTAAACTCAGCCACGCGCAGAGAGGGGTGGGGGGGGGGAGGGCTTCTTGGAAGCACCCCTGCTTCTCAGAAGGCGCGGGCCTTGTCCATAGATGTTAGGCCGGTGTGCCTTCTAAGAGGCAGCCTCCTTCTAAGAAGCCCTCCCCCCTCCCCCCTCCCCCCTTTGTGCGCGCCGCCAGCAAGCGACGCTTCCGTCTGTGGTTTCTTAGCGTGCGCCACGAGGAAGACGGTTCTGGTGGCCTCTTGGCCACCAGAACCGTCTTCCCCGTGGAGAGGAGGAGGAGGAGGAGGAGGAGGAGGAGGAGGAGGAGGAGGAGGAGGAGGGGAGGAGGAGGAGGGGGAGGAGGGGAGGAGGAGGAGGAGGAGGAGGAGGAGGAGGAGGAGGAGGAGGAGCAGAATAATAGTACTAATATTATTAATACTACGAATAATAAGAATAATAATAAGAATAAGAAACATAATGATAAGCATACTAAGAATAATAATACTACTAAGAAGAGTAATACTATTAATACGAATAAGAAGGATAATAATAATAATACGAATAATACTAAGAAGAAGACGAATACTACTAATAACAATAATACTGGTAAGAAGAAGAATAAGACGAATAAGAAGACGGCGAATACTACTAAGAAGAAACTTTTAGAATAATAATGATACGAATAATAACATTAATAAGACGAATAATAATAGTAATACGAGTAATACTAATACTAATAATAATAACACTACTAATAATACTCATGATACTAATAATAAGACTAATACGAATAAAAACAGAATAATACGACTATTAAGAATACGGATAATACGAATAACACGAATACTAATACGAATAATAATAATAATACTCAGAAGAATACTACGAATAATAATAATAAGAACAACACCAATACTAGTAGTAGTAGTAATAATACTAATATTACTATTAATACTAACAATAATACTACTACTACTACTAATAATAGTAATATTAATACTCATAATATTAATAATAATATCAATCATAACAATACTAATAATACTAATAAGAGTAACAATAATACTAATACTAATAATAATCATAATAATAATATAACATTAATAATAATCATACTAATAATAATACTACTAATACTACTACTAATACTAAAAATAATAATGCAAACAACAATAATAATAATAAAAAATAATAATACTAATAATAATAATAATACTACTAATAATAATAATAATAGTAATGCTAATACTAATAATAATACTTATAATAATAAGAATAATAATAATACTAATAAGAAGAGGAGGAGGAGGAGGAGGAGGAGGAGGAGGAGGAGGAGGAGGAGGAGAGGAGGAGGAGGAGGAGGAGAGGAGGAGGGGGAGGAGGAAGGGGGGGGGCGAGGGGAGGAGGAGGAGGAGGGGGGGGGAGGAGAAGGAGGAGGAGGAGGAGGAGGAGGAGGAGGAGGAGGAGGAGGAGGAGGAGAGGGGAGGGAGGGGGAGGGGGGAGGGGGAGGGGGAGGGGGAGGGGGAGGGGGAGGGGGAGGGGGAGGAGGACAAGCTAGGTGCGCTCGCGTCATATCTGACGTCCTACCCCTCCCTCCCATCCCTTACCATGGCGCTGATTTTCTCTATCCGCGGACGCGTGTCGTAGCGGACCTGTGGCTCCGCGCGCGCGTGCGTAGTGGGTGGTGGTGCGCGTGCGTGCGTGCGTGCGTGTGTGCGTGGTTGTGGTGGTGGTGGTGGTGGTGGTGGTGGTGGTGCTGGTGGTGGTGTTGGTGCTGGTGCTGGTGGTGGTTGTGGTGGTTGGTGGTGGTGGTGGTGGTGCGGCGCGGTGGTGGCGGGCGGATGGGCGCGCGAGAAAGAGGCCCGCGCTGGGGTGAGAACGCCATCCTGAACGACGGAGGCCTCAGCGAGAGCAGCATTTTGGAAAAAAGCAGGCGAAAACCCAACTCCCGGGAATCCTGTGTGTAAAAAACAGTACGCGGGGGGGGTCTAATACTTTCAGGCCGCCATCGGGGGAAGAGGGAGAGTAGTATTCATATTGAGTAATTGTGGAGGAGGAGGAGGAGGAGGGGGAGGAGGAGCAGGGAGGAGGAGGAGGAGGAGGGGGAGAGGAGGAGGAGGGGTGGAGGAGGAGGAAGGAGGAGGAGGAGGATGATGAGATGATGAGGAGGAGGGAGGGAGGAGGAGCAGGAGGAGGAGAGGAGGAGGAGGAGGAGGAGGAGGAGAGGAGGAGGAGGAGGACGGTTCATGTCCTGCGCCGTGCTGGTGGCCCCTCGTGGCCTCCCACGGGGTCGCCCGCGGCCTCGGCCGCGGCTCGGCGCGCCGCGGCCGCCGGGCCTCCCGTGGCCTGCCGCGGCGCGGCCTCTTTTGGGCCCCGATGGCGTCGCGCGGACGACTTTGAGTCGGGCACGTCCCCCCTACAGGGGGGAATCTTGAACATGGTCCCGCGCCTCTTCTGGTGGCCCCTGGGCCTCCCGTGGCCTTCCGTGGCGCGGCCTCCTTTGGGCCCCGATGGCTTCGCACGGACGGCTTTACGTCGGGCACGTCCCCCTACAGGGGGGAATAGTCAACATACAGTGCCGTTTTTTGATACATGCTCCGCGTGCGGATCATGTATCAAACATGCAGAGATTCAGTATTAAAAGCAACGATGAGTTCATGCATTGACTTATTAGTTGAAAATCCCATGTGTTAAAAACTGCCCTGTAGTCCAAACATAGCCTGGGGACGATGTTTTTCATTCTCTTTGGAGCATCTGCTGCACATTTTTGTTTGGCAGCTCTCTGTTTTTCGTCCAGAGCTCCCGTGTGGGGGGAGATGCCCGACCTGATGCTGCGGTCCCTGTGTCCCGCACCTCTTCCTCCGGTGTCCGCTCGGCCTCCCGTGGCCTCCCGCGGCGCGGCCTCTTCTGGATCCCGATGGTCTCGCACAGACAGCTCCGAGAGTCCGCCGGCTGGGGTCCACGCGCGATGCCTCACACGCTGGGGGTCCACGCGCGGGCACCCTTGGGAGACTTGGCCGGCCCAGGCTCCATCCAGGACAAGAGCTGCCGCATGTACGGCCCCTTCTGGGCCGTGTACAGCGCGCCGCTGGAGAACATCTACGGCAAGAAGGACGGCGGCACGGGGAAGTGCGCTCTCACCGAGGAGCCGGCCGGCACAAAGGGGGCGGGAGTGCCGAGCATGTGCCAGGCAGCCACTCGGGCGCATGCCCCCCTCTGACCCGAGAGCCAGCAGTGAGCGTGGAGTCCAGCAGTATGGATGCCTGGCCCTGACTGTAAATGGCATCTCATCGAGGAGCTGGCCGACAGAGGTCGAGGGATAGAAAGAGAGAGAGAGAGAGAGAGAGAGGGTGAGGGAGAGAGGGAGGGAGAGAGCTCACCGATTTGAGCAGGTGTCTGTCCTGTCCCGCTGGGTGTGTTAGCGGGTCCGCGTGGACGACGGGCGTGACAACGACGACGACCAAAGCGACGACTTCAGTCCTCCTCCCCAGGGCATTTTCCAGAAGAGATGAGGGACACACCAGTGGAAGAGCGATGATAATTCCTCGTGCAGTTCTCACTGCGGCAATTCGGGCAAGAGGGTATGGCGGTGCTACGCCCGCATCGTGGTACCCACCTGGGCGTGATCCGTAGTGTGAGTGGATGTTAGCGTCGGTGATCTAAATGTAATCGCATCGGCGTATGCAACCTGAGTGTGAGTGAGTCTGACTATAGTGAGTCGGAGCACGATTGGGTTTGAATACGAGTGGGTATGAATCTGGGTGAGTCCGAGTGCGAGTGGGCCTGCGTGTGAATGAGCCTGGGTAGCATCGCTGATGCATCCTGGGTCCACTCTCTGGCTCGATCCGATCCGATTTCGGTCTCCCGGAGATCCGATGCGGCCCGATCCTCGCACGGTGCAGCTGCGCATCCTGGCGCGGCCGATCCCATCCGATCTCGACTCCGAACTCGTGCTGCTCTATTTTCGATGCTCGTCGATGCGTCGTCGGCAGATCCCGCGTTTCAGACTGGTTCAGACTTCTGTCTAGGAGGAAGAGGAATGGAGGAGGAGGAGGAGGAGGAGGAGAGGAGGAGGAGGAGGAGGAGGAGGAGGAGGAGGAGGGAGGATCAGGAGGAGGAGGAGGAGGAGGAGGAGGAGGAGGAGGAGGAGGAGGAGGAGGAGGTGGACGCTCTGCCGTCTGTTTTCTTTGCCTCCGCCGTTTCGTCCAGCAGGGGGGGGTGGTGGTTGTGCTAAGTTTGGCGCCCCTCGTCGAGGCCCCCACCCCCGCCTCGGTCTCCGCGAGAGGCGCTCCGAATGCATGCCCCCCCCGCTGCAGCGGGGCTTCCTAGAAACCCTCGCGTCTTCTGAGAAGTTTTCTGTGCCCCCGGGGGAAGGCTGGGAGCACTTCTCAGGAGGCTGGGGGGGCTTCTGAGCCTTCTGAGAGGGCCCGCCCCTTCTCACTCCTTCCCTCCGGGTTCGCCGCCGAGCTTCAGGTGGAACGATCCATGCAGCGTCAGACACCAGTTCCAACGTCGCCACGAGACGGGCCTGGCCGGATCCAGGCGATGGCCGTTGTCGATGATACCTGCACTGAGCATCGGCCGTGCCCCCTGTCTGTCTCGGGGGTGCACAGACCTCCTACCCTGACACGTCGATTAGTGAATTGTCCGTTTTCGGTTGCCCAGAGGGCGCCGCGGCCGTCATTTTCCAGGCTTGCGCCCGCCAGGTTTGGGCCCGAGGTCGTTTTCACTAAACCACGTTTTAGTAAAGGGAGGTCTGTCCATCCCCGACTGTCGGTCCGCCGGAGGAGGAGAACTGCGGGGAGATGGCCCAGGCGGAGGCTTTCAAGGGCCAGGTCAAGCACAACTCGATGGCGTACATCTATGGGGCCCTGCCACCGCTGCCCATGTCCAAGGCGAGGGCCTGGAAGGATGGGGGTCCGTGGCGGCGACGGCGGCGGCAAATTTGTGGCTCTGCCACGATAGGGGCTCGAGACTCGCCGCTGGCAGGAAGAAACCAGATAAGCGGAAAGACAATCCAGCCAACAAAGTCAAGGAACATCATAAAAGTTTCTCTGAAAAGCGGCAGCCTGAGGGGCTTATGGCACACACCTAACGCCTAAGACTAAGGAGTGATAGTCGTGCCTGGGTCCTGGGCCTGGGGCCTCGGGCGGCATACGCCCGCGCTTGGGCCCAGGCACCAGCATCTTGCGTCTGCTTTCGTCGCCCTCTCTAGCTCACCACGTGGAGCTGCACTGGGTTCGGCCCTTCGCCAGGCTGACCATTCCGGTTGTCGTCCTCGTGATCATCTTTGGAGTCCTCGCCGTCGTAGTCGTCGCAGTTGTCCAACTGACCCGTTCGTTCTCGCTTCGGCTTGTTGCCTTGGCTCGGCCTCGTCCCCGAGGGTCCCCGACTCGGTCTTGTCTTCGGTTTGGCCAGGCTTGGCCTTGTGACCGAGGGCCCCCGATCGGGTCTTGCCTTCGCCCCGCGCCCATCTCCCTGGCCTGCCCTCGTCCCAGACTGTTCCCAGCCCCTGCGCTGTTGTGGCCCGACAGAATTAGCGGTGTTTGCGTGCCAAAGCGTTTTCATTTGCGGAGCTGGGCTCCCTGGCGCGAACGGCCGAACGACCCCTGCGGCGGGACACTCTGGCAACACGGTTGCCGTCGCAAACACTGTCTGGTCGCTGAGCGTTTCCCTTTTCTGCCCGTTCCTGGCTGTCCCAAGCTCAGGTGCTGTGCACTCAGTCGCCGAGGGTTTCCCCAGTTCGACCGTGTCTGACGTCGCCACCATGCGGGCTGTCTACCGTCCAATTGTCCAGGGCGTCTTCGGCTGTGGGGCACACATTCGTTTGCGTGTATACACACATTTAGGTTTGTATGCGTGCTGGTGTATGTATGTATGTGTGTATGTATGTTTGTATGTATGCATGCATGCATGCATGCATGTATGTATGTTTGTATGCGCATATGTATATATGTAGATATGTATGTAGGTGTGCATTTCTGTATTCATGTATGTGATGCGACGTCGTGCAGTATACTTTATTGTGACGCAATGTATTTGTATGTAATGTAATGTGGTGCCGCGTGTTGTGCTCTAGTGTAACGTAATGTAGTACAATGGTAGTTAAGGTATATGTACAGACTCATGTATGTATGTGTGTATGCATGTATGCATGCATGTACGGATGCATTTTTTTGCGTGCGTGCATGCATGCATGTATGTATGTGTGCATGCATATGTTTGCAGGTGTGTATGTGTGCATGTATGTGTGTATGCATGCGTGCTGTATGTGTGCATTCATGCGTGCTTGTAGATATCTATATATTTGCTTGTCTGCCTGTCAGTCTTCCTGTTTGTGTATATGTATGTTCGTATGCCTGTATGTCTGTATGTATGTATGTCTCCATGTCTGTCTGTCTGTATGCACGTACGTACGTACGCATGTACGTATGCGACTATGCACATGTGTTTGCATGCGTACATGTATGCATGTCTGCATGTATGCATGTCTGCATGGATGCATGTCTGCATGTATGCATGTACGTGGACATGCATGGATGCATGTGTACGTATACTCATGCATGCGTGTATGCATGTACGCATGCATGCATGTATGTATGTACATGCATGCATGCATGCATGCATGCATGACTGCATGTATGTGTGTATGTATGTATGCATGTGTAGATGTACGCTTGATTCTCCTTTCTAAAAGACTAATAGATTCTACCCCCCCTGGACTTATCGGGTCCCCCGCGCGTGCTGTAAATTACATATGATTCAGACCACATGTCCATCCTAAATACGAACTCGTACCATCCCAGCCAAGCCGGGTTCCCCCCCCTGCGGTTCCCTTGTAAAAAAAACTATGCGGTGACATGTTCTGTTCTATCATATCACTTTTTCACGAATCCCTTGCAACAAATGGGACGAAGTGCGCACGCGCGCGTCGTGGCGCGCGCATGCCGAAATCCTTAAAAAACCTTCGGTTCCAGAGAGATTTCAAAATTGAATTCCCAAAACACATATAAAAACACATGGTTTCGCAACACTGATTCCAAAAAAAACTTACGCGCGAGCTCTTGCGAAATCTTAAGAAAACCATAGGTTTTCAAAGATTTTCACAACATGCTACCAAACGGGCTTCGCGCGCGCGCATGTCGAAATCTGTCGAACGCTCTTGCGCGTGTGCCGTCGCGAGAATCCTCTGCAAAAAACGGGACGAAGTGCAGACGGGCGCGTCGTCGCGGGCGTATGCCGAAATCCTTCAAAAACCTTCGGTTTCGGAAGAATGTCGAAATCGTGCGTCCAAAAAACCTACAAAAACACAAGGTTTCGCAACACGGGTTTTCAACAAAATTGTGCGCGCGCGCTCTTGCGTCGTCGTCGTCGTCGTCGTCGTCGTCCCTCCTCCCTCGTCGTCGTCGTCGTCGTCGTCGCCGTCGTCGTCTTCTGTCTTTCCTCGTCGTCTTTGGCGTCGTCGTCGGTTCCGTCGTCGTTGTCGCCGTGGTCGTCCTTCCTCCCTCCTTGTCTTCGTCGGCGTCTCGTCGTTGTCCCTCCTATTTCGTCGCCGTCGTCGTCATCGTCGTCGTCGTCGTGGTCTTCACTCCTCCCTCGTCGTTGTCGTCGTCGGCGTCGCCGTCCTTCCTCCTTCTTCGTCGTTGGCGTCGTCGCCGTCTTCCCTCCTCCATCGTCGTTGTCGTCGTTGTCGCCGTCGTCGTTTTTTCTCCTCCCTCGTCGTCGTCTCCGTTGGCGACGTCGTCGTCGTCTTCGTCGTCGTCGTCGGCGTCGTTGTCGTCGTCGTCGGTGTCGTCGTCGTCGTTGTCGTCGTCGAAAACATTGGAGACGTCGTCGGTGTCGTCGCAGTCGCTGTCGGCGGCGCCGTCGTCGTCGATGTCGCTGTCGTCGTCGGCATCGGTGTCGTGGCCAAGTGCCACGCAGTACCTACCGTCACGGTCTTGTCTGAAGATGTCTTGCGACCAAGTTGCGGGTGGGAGGGTGGGATGTTTGCACGAGCAGTGGAGAGGACAGCTTCAAGACAGTCGAAGTGGTTCCCTACGTAGGCTCTCTGCCTAGAAGGGTTCTTACTCGCTTGGCGTAAAGGGGCCGGGCAGTGCAAACCGCCCCGGGCGGTTCCCCCAGTCCCCTGGGAGCCAATCAACAGCAACAGCAAAGGTAAAAGCAAACGCGCGGTTCCCCCAGTTGCGCTCCCTGGGTGCCAAGCACAAGCAAAATCAAAGGCAAACGTGAAGGCAAAAGCGAAGGCAAAACAAAAGCATAACATAGCATAGCATAGCATAGCGCAGCATAGCATAGCGCAGCATAGCATACCATAGCATAGCGTAGCCTAGCCTAGCCTAGCCTAGCCTAGCCCAACATAGCATTGCGCAGCATAGCGTATCATAGCATAGCATATCATAGCATAGCATAGCGCAGCACATCATCCATTATTGTTGCTGCTTTATAGATATACACATGTACTTATATGTGTGTGTGTGCGCACGTCTGTTCCATGCATGTTGTCCGTCTGTGGGCCATCTTGAGCCCTTAGAGGGCAGCTTGAGCCCTCAGGATCAACGAAGGTGTCGCACATAGAACCGGCCGGGAGACATGAAACCCGACGTATTATCGCATGTCCTACACGTCTTTCTATATATGCTAATAGTTGTGAGTATATATATATATATATATATATATATATTAATATATATATATATACATCACACCCATGTGGAATGCTGCATGTGTGTGTGTGCGCGCGTGTGTTTGTGCATGTATTTGTTCAGCACCGCGTCGTAATGCCTTTCATCCTCGTTGCCGTTCACCCTTAATTCCGTGACTCGCAGAGCCATGCAAGAGCGTGCAGCAGTGTATTGCGTCATGCGGGCATTCTTACGGACCTCGAGTGGCGAGGCACGAGACCCAGCAAACAGTGTTGAACATCCTGCAGAGGACAATGTTCCAAGCAGTGTTGAACAGCCTGCAGAGACGTTCATTTCCGTCGCGGCCGTGAATCGGTGGTTGGCTGTGCAAGGTGCTGCGTGTAACGCACCAGACTTTCAAAAGCTGCGTGCGGCAATTTCGGTGCTCACGAAGACGCCCAGCCCTCGACAGGAAGAGGTGTCCCCTCTCTGCTCTCCATGGACTGTGCGACAGAAACATCAGAGACGACGCCGACCATCGGCGACTTCGATCGCAGAGTTGCAGCAGGCGGTCATCAACGCCTTGTTCTTTAACGGGGAGCGCGTCGTGCCAGGGAGCGCTGTTATGCGGAGGAACGCTTGGGATCAGTGTTGCTACCAAAGCTGCAGAGCGAATGAAGTGTTTGCCAGCATTCTGCGTCGCAGCGAATTCGGTGACCGCGAGCACATCCCTGCTCCAATGCGACGGCCGATTGTTAACTTGCAGCGTTTCTGCTACAAGATCTGCGAGTTGCGGAAGGGGAACCAGTCACGGCGATCTGTGTACTACTGGTTATTCGACACAGTCCCTGCGCGCCAAGAGTGGCTCGGGCGACTCCACGACAGCGGTGAGGTTGTGATCGCACCATTCTGGTGAAACCGCATATTCCAGCGCCGATGATGCCCGCCGAAACAATGCTGAACAGCTTGTTGCGCCGATCTGGGAGTTGCTGCTGCTGTGCAGTTTCGTAGGAACGTTCGGTGTAGCAAGTGTTGCGCAACCTTGCTCGATGCCAAGTCGTGCTGTGTAGGCCGGATCCGGGGCGTTCTCAAGCGCGCCCGGTGAGCGAGTGCAAAAAACATGCGTGTGTGTGTGTCTGTGCGTTGGCAAAGCGAAAGCAAAACCAAGCAACAACAATCGCAAAAACAAAGCAAAAACAACAGCGGAAGCAAAAACAAAAGCAAAAGCAAAGGCAAATGGAAAAGCAAAGGCAAGAGCAAAAGCAAATTCAATGCAAAGCGAAAGC